CCTCATGTCCACCCGTGCATCCACTTATGCCTGCGTTCGAAGACTATCTCAGTATTTAATTACATTATCTATATCTTTACACATATAATATTACCCGATCTTTCATATTTATTGCAAAACATATAAGTACCTATCTAATTGTACATCTCCACACTCACAAAAAAAAAAAAAAACCTGGTATGCTTCTTTTTCTGTATAAAAACATATACATGTACATATCAACAGGTGTCTCAGTGTGCAAATACATTATCATAGTTGTATACATATAGTCATGGGTTAGCGTTCACGTGTGCATAGTAATATTTCTAAAAACAAAGGGAATATAAAACATTCAAAATTGCTGTTCCTATATAATTATTTCTTAGTGTACTTGCTTAGGTTTAGGTTGTTTTTGTGCCAGCATTTAAAAACTAGTTCATTGTGTCTATTTAGTAGTATGTCTGGATCTTTATGTTTGATTATGAAGATTTTCTCCTTCAAACATAAGTTGCATCTGTCTCTGAAGTTTTTGGGAGTTCTGGCTCTTGATATTATTCGCCACTTTATTTGTGGTGTTAGGCCACTCTCAACAAAAACCAATAATGATTTGATAGTGCTGTTTGTTTTTTTACATTTATTTTTGAAGGATTGGCGATGGTTGTATAGTCGGTGTTTCCAATCTCCCGCTGATATTCTAATGTATATCTTTTTCTCTTCAACCTTTTCTTTGGGGAAAATTCTTGCTTCATATATTGTGTTCTCTGCCATGCATATTTCTTCAACTGGGCACTCTGATCCTGTCCTGCAGTTGCATGTTGATTTTTCCATTCGTGTTGTATCCTGATTTTGTCTTAGATTATCCTAAAGGTCTCTTAAAATTTTACTGTTGTGTGAGCTAATAATTCTTTCCATATTGTTCATGCAAGAATAGCTAATCTTTAGATTCATCTTGTTGAATATTTTTTCAGAGATGCATTTTTGCTAAAGTGTTTTTCTATCAGTTTTATGAAGTATTTACCTATATTAATATTGGAGAGGTTACAAAAAGGTGGGTTGAACCATATAATTTTCCTTTTCCTGTTTTTGAGTTTAGTGGATATTTTACTTACTGGCTTATCTATGTAATTTAGTGTTTGCTTAAAATTGCTTTTTAACAGGGCTTTATTGTATTCCCATTTATTCTGGTTAAAAATGGTTTTACTGGAGGAAAGTTTATTTATTCTAGCATTTACTGTATTTGGGATTTGTTTAATTATTGATTTCGGGTGATTGGAGTGGATATTTATATATATGGGTGATTGGTTTTCCTTTTGGAAGGGTTTATAAGTATTATAGTTCAGATTAAATGTAACGTCTAGGAGGTTTACTATTTTTAAGTAGGAAGAAATCTCGATTCTAAATCCTAGAAATTTGAAGGCCCTAGTTATTTTCTTTTGTAGTTGGGATGTTAACGGACCATTAGTATTAGGTACAACAACTAACCCGTCATCTCTGTATAGTCCTATATTTTGAGGTCAAGGAATCTACTTAGGATATCTAAAATGTATATACCTATTAGGTCTGCTATTTGAGCTGAATCAAAAGATCCCATTGGGACATCACAATTGTCTCTACCTTTTTTAATCCAAGTAGTGTTGTTCAGTTTTAGTATGGACTGTCTAGAGTCCATTATGATTTTTATTACTTCGTCAGTAATGTCAGTGTGGATTCTGGCAAAACTTAAGCTATTTTCTAATAATTCTTTAGAGATTGGGGGGGTAGAAATCGATGATATCAAGTTGTATAAAAGTAGTATTATTTTTATTTTTTATTTTTGGAACCAGTTAATGGTGTCTGATAAATCTTTCCAAAGGTGTAACGGGTATTTTTTTAATTATAGATGTGTTTATTCTTTTTAGGGTGTTTTTAGAAATTATTCCTAACTCTGATTTGGAGGGATTTATTAATCTGGACTGTAGATTATTCTGAAAGTTAGGTTTATGGTCTTTAAAAAGTAGGTAGATGAGTTGTACCCATTCTATCAGCAATATTATATTTAAATGCTAATTTCGCAGTTTCTTTGTGTATGGAGGATAAGTGTTTAGAATTGTTGTCTTTCTTATAAGAACCAGAGACTTTATTTTGAATCAGATGGTTGTATTCCGAGGGATTAATTTTGTAAATGTTTTTAGATTTGTCAGCTCTGATCCATAGTTTTTTTGAATTTTTTATATTTGTGATGTCTTTTTTGAATTTGGATTGGAATGGGATGTATTTTTTCTGGAAGGATATTTTCTTAATTAACTCAATTAAATCTTGTTCAAAAGGTTCTAATAATTTATTGTTTGGTGGAGTGTTTTGAGATTTAAAGTAAAAGACTTCATCTAGTTTAGTGGGTTTGTCATGGGGATTAAGATGGAAGTGAATTTTCCACCTCATTCTTTTTATGACGTCAATGATTTTTTTCCGTCAAAGACATGGGGAAGGATTCAATCGTAGGGTGAGGAATGTTCTTGAGTGAGTAGTCCTGTGTAAATTTATCCATTTTAGTTTGGAAGTTTGGATCCTTATGGTAATCCGATGGGAGGTAATCCAACCGAGAGCTCAACTTATTTTATAAGGAGCTAATATTTAATATTCTAATATTCTCCAATTAGAAGTGAATTTTAAATAGCACGAAGGGAAAATTTAGATTGGTATTTTAATTGAGATTGAAAGATACTACCCCAGTGTGGAGAATAAAATTTTTTAAATGGGAACAACTGTTGATAATTGGGTACATAAAAAGAACCACGAGGTTACTTAATGAACAAAAATCAAAAACAATCACGAGTTTACTTAATGAACAAAAATCAAACGAATAAATGTCAACCTAACAAGCTATAAGATAAAAGTTTTAGTAAAAAAGAAAAAATTACTAAATATAAATTGGATTGCTCTTTCAATGTTCTGTCTATGGATTTTTCCAATCGACTGTTTCACAGAAAATACCCAAAACTCCACCGGATTCCAAATTAATTCCTTCGTAGATTGTTTTAAAATTTAGATATTTATCAAACCTTAACCTCCCAAATATGCACGTTAAAGTAACGCGAACTGACAGCGTCTAAGAATTTGAATGAAACCTGTCGTGTAATTTATTGGGGTTGTTGTAATGGCTCCCTTTAATGTAGTTCTTATCGTTCACCCTTAGCCACCTTTATCTAGAGACGAGACGCGTTAAATTTGAGCAACATCCAGCCGACACACTGGGGTTAAAATAGGAAACTAAAATGATACATATGACACACTCATATCCTCTCTCCCACCTCACTTCCTCACTTCGTTAACTTTGTGTATACTTGATGAGGTCCGTAAAAACGTGTGAATTTCTTTTCATTTTTTCATTTCAGCTTTTTGGAAGTAAAGTCTGATGATCCAGAATCCTGTTAAAGGGTTATGGTGAAATAGCTTATTACATGGAATCTTAACGTGGTCTGTGTTTTATTCAAACAAATATATATATATATATATATATATATATATATATATATATTTATATATATTTAAAGATATTTTTTGTAGATACAAAATTTAATAATCGAAATAACAGTATAAAATTTAATATTACAAGACAAAAAACAAAACCAACGGGGTGGGTGAAGCCACCGGTTGCTTCCCGCCCCCGTTGGTTTTTTTTTTTTTTGATGTTTAATATGTCTTGTAATATTAAATTTTATACTTTTATTTCGATATATATATATATATATATATATATATATATATATATATATATATATATGACCAATAGTCTAAAGCCTTACATAGATAATAGGTAAAATTTGATATGATGATGTCACTATACGATTTTCGACATATGGAATAATTGAGAGCAAAAGAAATTTTGGTCAAGACTGAGTATTCAATATGTAAATCAAATGCCTTTATCTTCATTATAATATGGACTAACAGGTGTAACTCTCTTTCTTCTCTTTCTCTCTGTCCATATATATATATATATATATATATATATATATATATATATATATATATATATATATATATATATTACAATTTTCTCCTTTCTACGTCAGTTTTTACATAGACTCGACGTTTCCGGTTTTACTATTTTCTCAAATGAATATCAAAATTTAATCTTAATTGTATGTTTAAATTCCCACGATAACAATTCAAAAGTCCCTTTCGCCTTGATTTTTATAAACTGTTAATCTTTTGTTCATTTATTGAGATTGTATTGTCACTAGAGAATTAAAATAAAGCGAATTAATTCATGTCTTTATTTATTTTTCACTTTTCTCCTTAATATGTAAATCAGAGTAATTCAATATGAAGCTGTTTTACATTTAAGGAAATAACTAATCAAAATCTAATAGATTAAATAGAATGTATAATTCTAAAATATCATTGCTGCAAGTATTTTATAAACACATGTTCTTCTACCAAAAAGTATGGATGAGATAAACGTCCTAGTTTCTATCTGCATTGGGATTGGCTGTTTGATTGCAAATAAAGCTAGCACTACTAAAACTGATTAAGATTAGATAGCATGAAACATTACTGTTTTTTAAGCTAATTCATTGTGTCACAATGATTCGGCTAAGTGTCTATTCATCCAATAAAATTGCCGTCATTACCAGTGAATATAGAAATTTGGGATTCATACAGGGCAAATAAGAAAACACTTGATCTCTTTGAAGGATTGAAAAAAGATATAGAGTCATCTTAAAGAAATCTAATTAAATGAAGTATATATTTGAGCAATGATGAATTAGGTAGCATTTGAAATATTAAGCCAAACAAAACATATGAAAATATAAAATGCCAAATACTGTTGGAATATAATTTATTGGTTGTAATTTGGATGGTTTTTGAATCGGGCATTTTTGACAAAAACATAAAATGCATATCTCCATTAAAAGATTGTTCAGGAGGTTAAAAAAGTATAACACTTAAGTATAATCACAATTGTATACCAGATGTAGACAGGCAAGTATAAAGATTGAGATTAATATTAATATAAATATATATATATATATATATATTTACAGATAGATAGATAGATAGATAGATAGATAGATAGATAGATAGATAGAAACAGTTATTGAGATAGATATCAAAAAGAAAAATTGAATGAAAGAAAGAGAAAATGACAAAGAACTCATTATTAAGATAGATAGATAGATAGATACATACATACATACATGCATACATGCATACATACATACATAGCAAGAGAGATATATTGATAGATAGAAACCGATATTGGCATAGATTGATAGAAAAAATTCGATGTTGATATAAATAGAACGCTTATTGAGATAGATAGATAGATAGATAGATAGATAGAGAGAGAGAAATAAAATATACTGAAATAGATATATAGATATAAAAAGATGTTGAAATAAATAGATAGATAGATAGATAGATAGATAGAAAAGAGAAAAAAGAAAGTAAGAAAAAGAGAAAGAAAGAAATTGATATTGATATAGATAGAAAGAAATAATAAAAGAAAGAAAGATAGAAAGCGATAAAAAAGAAAACTTTGAAATAGAGAGAAGGAACATATATCGAGTTTATAGAGGACATAGAGAGAATGTGAGAATGAAAGAAACACGCGCGCCCGCACACACAGGCACATATATATATATATATATATATCATTCATACATTTCATTAAATAATGTAGACATATATATATATATATATATATATATATATATATATATATATATATATATACACACATACAGAGAGATATAACATATATTGAGATAGAAAGAGAGCGAGAAAGTGAAAGAATCCAGTATTGAGATAGATAGATAGATAGATAGATAGATAGATAGATAGATAGATAGATAGATAGATGAGTAAATGAGTAATGTGGAAACAATTGTGTAACTGTCGATTTAGGTTGCAAGATTTCCATTGTAATAGATTGAATAAAATTGAACATATTTATGATTGAATATCCAACCGAAATAAGAATTATCTGAAATATATTTAAATAAATATCTATGTAGCATGAGAGTCAAATCATATCCAATCAAACTTTAAAATATCACAATTAGCACCAGTGTAAATAAATGGTATTGTCATTTGATTTAAGTGGATAAGTCGCAGATAAAAGGTCCTCTCCTGGTTTGAATCAATAAATGGTTTCTGAAGACGAAAGAACAATCTTATTGAAAATGAAAGTAATAAATTTATCAGCTACGACATGAACAAGTCTTCACTTATAGAGAAAATAAATCTCTAACTGGAAAAGATACAGATAGGCTTTCTATTTTAGGTGTTATAGTTGTTGCCATCATTGTATGAGAGAAATAATTCCCGTTCTGTTCGAGATAGAGAGTATAGGCGATCGAACCGAATACATAATGATCATTTTGATGGTAATGGTGATGATGTTAATGACAATGATGATAATGACGACGGTCAATTGAAGACGTCAAGAGAAGGAAGCATGTAAAAGGATAAAGGAAGGAAAAACCGGAAACACTCTTCCAACCATATTCGCCCCCCCTATCTCTCACTAAAAAAAGGAGAAATAATTTTTATGGTTTTCCAATGAGGCTTAAATTTTACGGCTGTCGGTGAAAGCTGGTTTTCCTAGTGACTGGGTTGAATATTTAAAGAAAATCGAAATTCGAAACAATGAATTTAAATCAAGCAAGAAAAATTGATTGCCAGTTTACGATTTTGCTTTCTTTGTTTCAAAAATAATTTCTTCCTTATTTCTGTCTTCCCCATTGAAATGGTTTTTCATCAGTTGGTCTTTCATTTTATTGCCTATCTATTTTGAAATGTTCATCTTCTTTAAAAACATCACATTCATTGCCATTTTCATTTTTCTTTTTCTTACATGCTCACTTATTTCTCTTTCTTTCTTTGTGATTTCTTTCGTCCTTCTCTCGGTATTTTTAGAGCTTTACTTTTACGTTTTATGAATGTGTTCCTCTTCCTTTTCTTTCGATCCTATTTTTTCTTTTCTTTCTTTCTTTTTTTCTTCCTTTCTTTCTTTCTCTCTCTCTTTTTTCTTTCTTTCTTTGTCTCTTTCGTCTCTAGACAACTAATATTTTTTTTCTCTCAGTACCTTCACCATTTTCCTTTAGATAAGCCATATGTTTTTCTTTTCCTTCCTTTTTTGTTACTTTTTATTTATTTATTTATTTTTTCTCTGCTTCCTTGCTTGTTCTCTTTTTATTATTCAATTTTAAACGTCCTCATATCCGACCTTTTTTTTCATTTCAGTCTTTAATCTTACCTTTCTCTCTTCTTTTCTTTCTTTTAGTTTCTTTCATTCATTTCCGCACGAAAAAAAATGGTTATTTGCAATTCCAACTGTTTCCTTTAAAGAGTAAGTCTTTTCTTTTTCATTCTTTCTTTCCTTCTTGCTTTATTTCTATATTTGTGTCATCCATTTTTAAACAATCGAACCTTTAACCTTTGCATTAATTTCTCCACATGTTGACATTCATTCATGTCTATATTTTCTTTCTCCTTTTTGTCTTTATTTCCTCCTTTTTTGCTTGCTTCTTTCTTTCATCTTTCTTTCTTTCTTTCTATCTTTCTTTCTTTCTTAACTTCTTTCTTTCTATCTTTCTTTCTTCTTTCTTTCTTTCCTTCTTTCTTTCTATCTTTCTTTCTTCTTTCTTTCTTTCCTTCTTTCTTTCTATCTTTCTTTCTTCTTTCTTTCTTTCCTTCTTTCTTTCTATCTTTCTTTCTTCTTTCTTTCTTTCCTTCTTTCTTTCTATCTTTCTTTCTTTCTGTTATTAAATAGCCTTAGCTTTCATGACATTTTCATCGCTCTTTTCGTTCAAGTCTCAACTTTTTTCACAATTTCATTTTCTTACCTTTTCTCACGATCGTTTTACTTTTCCTGTTGGTTTTCATAACATTACTTTTTTTTATTTTTTATGTTCCGCATCCTTTCAGGGAGTGGCCGATTATAACTAATCACGTGATCCTGTCGTTTTTTTTTTTTCTTTGCTCCAAATAAATCATTTCCCTTTATTCTCTGGCCTTAGACAGGGTGTTGCACTCATTCACAAAAACTCGCCTCACATACCATCAATATATCCTGTGAGTTTTCGATTCTCTTGGTCCTTCATACTCTTTATGTATCCGAGAGATTTCAACTATGTCTTTCTGAGAGTATGTATTTATTTCTTCGTTACACACAAAGAGAGGTATACTCGCACATACACATAACTCATTTCTTTTTCCTTTTATATATATATATATATATATATATATATATATATATATATTTGGTTGGATAGATGTGAGTTTGTGACCCTGGGTTTCACGCTTTAGCGATCGTCAGACAAACTGATTAATGTTTTAAAAATTTGGGTTTATGTAGATTGCGTGTATTGGTGTTATTGTGGAAGTGGTGGGGAAATTTCGTCGTTTTGTCATTCATCGTACTAACGCAAACATCGATATATGCAGACACATATACATATTTGGTCGTCTGTAGGCACTCATACATATATAAACGTATGTGGGAAGTTTCGGCTATGACACATGTATGTATACGGGTGGTGTTGTGAAACCCAGGGTCACAAACTCACCTCTATCCAACCAAATATGTTAGCTCTATCTCTGATATTGAGCGCTTTCTAATAAGTACTGCGCATATGATATATAAATAATTATACATATATATATTTATTTATATTCATATACACTTTTCACACACACACACACATATATATATATATATATATATATATATATATATATATATATATATATATATATATATATATATATGAATTTTAACATACAATTTTAAATATAACAGACAATGAATGTCTATTATGTTTCAGCATACGCCGTTCTAATGTTCTTATGTTTGCTTTAATTTCGGGTGAAACCAAAGACAATAATCGCGGAATACCAAATGCAGGTCGTAAGTTAAACTGAGCTTCTATGACCGTTATCGTCGCATAGAAATCTTCTATCTCAACATAACAAAATATAATCTTCAGTTGTGAATATATTTGTTTAAATATCCGTATAACCACTCTGAAGATGGCCCATGTGAATCTAAAGCTTTGTTCAATGACCGACTTAATAAAAATATCCAAATGTTGTACAATATTTGTCTTTATTTTCACCCGAAATTAAAGCAAACATACTAACTTTAGAACGGCTCATGATCATACATAATAGACATTCAATGTCTTTTATATTTAACAACCTATGTTTAAATAATGATCAGCTGCCCCAATATATATTAATATTACATGCATATATATATATATATATATATATATATATATATATATATATATATATATATATATATATACCTACGAACCTAAAGAACCACAATATATATATATATATATATATATATATATACCTACGAACCTAAAGAACCACGCAAATCTACCTAGGTTTCTCCTACGCGGATGGTCTGGGTACGCCGGCGTAACCTGACGATCCATGTAGGTGAAACTTAGGTAGCTTTGACTGGCTCTTTATGTTTCAAGTTAGATTTGCTCTACTTAGTGTATTGAGCACTTTCCTTAGTTATTTTTTCTTTACTCGTGTCGGAGGTTTTTTTTTTCTTTGGACTCTGAGCTTGGATTCTGATCGATTGTTTTCGCCTGAATTACATGTTCTTAGTTCTTTCTTTTTATATTCCTTATTTTACCTTGGGTATTGGTTTGTTCATTTACAAGCCAAAACTCCTAAGGTATTTTTTTCCGGTCGACTATACTTACTTATATTTATAAGAATATTATTATTTTTATTATTATTATTATTAAACACTTTACTGCAATCTATTTTCCCGCTAATTTACCCGATAATGTCTTGTGGCATATGTCTACATTTTCAACTATCGTCTCTGTAAGACTGGCATTTCTTTGTCTTTGTTTATTATATTATATTATTTACCAGAGCAGGGCAGCTGACATCTCCTCTGACCTAGTTGTAAGATCTCAGTTGGAGAAAACAAGCTGGTTACATTCAATGGCTAACGGCGATTTATCCTCACAGAGCGGACCCCCAATTTTACCGATCACAATGAACAGAGGTTCTATCAGGGATGTCCGTGTTATGATCTAATATCAAACAAGACCACAAGTGAAACTATTACATACGATCTATGGTTAAAGTTGTTGAAGAAACATTTGGTTCCGTGAACCTTTCTAATAAGTACCTAAATCCTCCTACTATTCTCTACCTTTACAGGAGTCAGATGAGTCCGAAAATGGAGCACTGCTGTCACATAAGGAGAAGAGTCGTAAATTCTTCATTTTCCAGACTCGGCAGAATCCAAAAACCTCTCCGCGTCCTTGTGGGTCAGAAATTATTTTCCACACTACAACCTATTTCCCTTCTTTAGCGCCCTAAGACTCTTCTAACTCTTTCGGAATACACTGCACTGTCCTCTGATTGACACCCAGATACTCTGAAATTTTCGCATTGGAGCTGCCGGCGCGAATGCCAAGCAGTACAGATAGTCGTTTTTAGACATTTTAAATCTATTATTCTCCTTCGATTTGCTGCCTATCGCCTTTTGGTTTTAATTCTAACTTATTATTTTCTTTTTAATTCTTTCTCCTTTTACTTATTAAATCATTTTAATATTTTCTTTATAAACTTCTCTAAATATAGCTTCGTATTCTTTTTATTTACGTTATTTTCATTTTCTAACTTCAATTATTTTTTTGCAATTTCTGTGTTCTTTTTCATTTTTGTTCTTTGCTTAATTTTCTTAAAATGTTAGTCATATTTTTCATCTTATTTTTCTCCTTTGAGTTTTGAATTTCGTCTATCCTTTCATTGCTTCTTTTCCTTGTTATAGTTTTATGATATGTTCTTTTCTATGTACCGTGTTCGTTCAAGACTTGGGCGATTCTTTCTTTCCACAATTTCATGTCTTTGTAGCTCTTAATAAATATTGTGCTGTTATCTCTCCGTAATATTGTGCCGTCATCCATTTACTGACACCAGGTTATGCGCTGTTTTTCACTGTCCTTTAATCTATCCTATGAGTATCACATTTTCCATGCCTTCTTTTCTCATTATATGCCCTAGAGATTTCAACTTCTTTTTATCTGATGTTAAGCATAAGTGACCTTTTTGCTTACATTTTCTTTAAAATTTCGTCGTTGCTATGTCCGGCCCATGGTATTCTAAGCATCCTTCTGAAGAAACACATTTCTATTGTTTCAAGTTTTTCGTTCATCTGTGAAGGTGTTGTCCAACATTCACATCCATATAGGAAGATTGATATTACGTCACAGCACATTATTCTTTGTTTCTCACGCACTCTTCTAAATATTAATTATCTCCTCATTTTCTCTTGTTCATTCAGCGGTCTCTTTTTTTATTTTTTTTCCACTCTTTTCTCGCCTGTTGTCCCCTTTTATCCGATTTCTCTTTATTTTTTTTATTATCCACACCTTCATCATATATTCTTTTTCTTCTTTTATTTCCTTTCGATATATTATTTAATAATTTCTAATTCCTTATTCCTGTTTTTTTATTCTTTTTCTCTTCGCAATATTATTCCTTCTTTTCTATTCCTTTTTTTTATTTTCTTCCATCTGCTTCCCTTTGTTTTTTTCTTCTTGTGTTCCTTTCATTCTTCATCCTTTGATCATGCTTATTTCGGCCATCATTTCATTTTATATTCTCCTAAATTGTTTTGCAATTTTCCTTGCTTTTTTCCGACAATCCTTTCCACCATTATTCTTCTTTGCCACTTTCAAATTGAAACTCTAATAGCATCTCAAAGAACTGCTGACACTTACAAAGCAATTTCTTTCCTGTTTATGCGCTTCTCTCGTTTATTTGACGATTTCAATCGCTTTATTTTATTTCCTTCTCAAATGCAAATTTAATAAAAAGATCAATAAATACAATGTTTTATCGGAACAAAAATCTTTATTCCTCCTATCATTTCCAATTTTCTATTTTATTGCACTAATGAAATAAATCGCCAATTTAATAGAGGTAAAAAATACTGATTTGAGGCGTAATTTAAAGAAATGATACGCTTTAAAAATGTATTTTCACTTTAATTTGTATCGAGTAGAAATGTGGAGTGTAATCGTAACCATTCGATATTATAAAAGAGCCATGTTTATAATAAAAGCAAGAAGCCAATTTAAAGGAAATTAAGATTTTAGTACTTAATTTATCGACATCTGAATTGTATTTGAAGAATATTGAGGATTGTCGGTGAACATCGGTAAATTTCCGGGTAACAATGTCATTTTCTATGTAAAGCAATAAATAAGATATTTGTTTCCGTCGGAGTTAAATGCATAAAACACATTCATTCTCTATTTATTTTCGTATCCAAACAGATTATGTAACATCCACACTGACAGACAAACACACACACATATATATATATATATATATATATATATATATATATATATATATATATATGTTAACATTGATGTCAAAACTTACATTTTTAAAAGTAATTTTCCTGCCATTTCATTAGCATTTAAGCATGAAACGTAGTGTCGACGCTGGGTGTTGACGATGTCCATTTTATATTGACATATATATCCATATATTTGCTTACATATATATATATATATATATATATATATATATATATATATATATATATATATAGAGGTGCAGCTTATATTTCATATCATAAAGAAACAATTTATACAAAGAATTAAATAGCAATGTGATATAATGGAATATGCATACACCTGTTTTCCTCATCACTGAAATATGATTGGCTGGTGTCCGTCATAAATATAGACGGATGTGTAGGTACGACAGAGTTCAAGTCTATGACGACGCCCATTAGACTACGCCATTGGCTATTCTATTGGTCTACTCCTATTACCTGCGACTACGACGAGTAGCAGTCGATTACTGCTACTGTGTACTACTTGGTTGCAGTAGCCAAACCCACTTAGGTACTTCGAGCAAATATATCCCTTTCCGGGACATATCAGTTGAATCTCATCCTCGTCTCCAATGGCGTAGTCCAATGGACGTCGTCATAGACTTAAACTCTGTCGTACCTACACGTCCGTCTGTATTTATGACGGACACCAGTCAATCATATTCCAATGGGAACACTGGTGTATGCATATTCCATTATATCACAATGTTATCGTGATTAATGAGGAAATCACTTCGCTAAGAAGATTTAATGGGACATTAAGTTACTATGAATTCCTTGAATATTAAGATCCTTATATTCGAGTTGTTATTCAGATGGCAGACACTTTGCCAAGTACTTACGACAATTTCAAATTGCCATATTCAGGCCGCAATTTTTTCCCTTACATAGGGAAACACTAAGATGAAATATGTGGAGACCGAAAAATATCTTTATTATGCTATTTATTGATAGTTAAATATATGTTTTAGAGCGTGTCATGCCGCGACGCTAGAAGTCTTTTTCCATTCGATCAAGTGAGAATTTTGTTCGAATTTTGAAAAGATTTAAACCGACGCAATTTTCTTGTTATGTTTTATCGGTTAAAGGGAAAGATTATAATTAATATATTTTAGTCAAATCCATCTTAAGTATAATCCAATTACTAGAGTAAAAATATCTTAATAGTTTTCCACAGAATTTATGATTTTGATTATTACTGTACTGCAGATCTGATGTCGTAAATATATTAGATATTTTACATCCTAAAGAAATGATTTATACAAAGAATTAAATAGCAGATCCCAAACATATATTTACACTTCAATAAATAACATAATTTTAAAATAATAATCTTTCGGTCGACACCTACTTTGTCTTAGTGTTTGCCTATGTATGGAAAAATTGCGCCCTGAATATGACAATTTGAAATTGTCGAAAGTATTTGGCATGTGTATATATATATATAAAATGAAAAAATTATCAATTTAAACTTTATTGTTCGTGGATACCCATATTTGAGTATACGCTATGCTTATTTATTAAAGAGTATATTTATTTACTTTCGTCCGCCGTGCTAAATATTCGACGAATCTTAATAAAGGCAAATATGTCATCACCGGTAGGAATCGAACCTATGTCCCCTGGGCAGAGAAAACCGTTGTTAGATCCGGCCCAGCTACAAAGGGCTTTTGTCTATCAAGCAAGGCTGACTATTGAAATATTCATATCTGTTCAGTCTCGAATACAAAGGTAAACAAAGAAATTTCTATAGAAGTAATGGATTTTTATTCATTAATCCGACAGATTTGATTAACTTAAACGTTATATATAGTGGATACTCATGTTTGAGTAGACGCTCTGTTTATTTATTAAACAGTGTATTAATTTTTTGTCATTCACCGGAATCTTATTAAAAAGAGATACGGAGCTTACACACACACACACACACACACACACACACACACACACACACACACACATATATATATATATATCTAAAGCATTGAACATTGAGTGGTGGTATTAATAAAATAATGCTCGAGGAAATTAGTACTAATAGTAAATATGGATTTTGTTCCTCACCGGTTACACAACTCTGAGTTTCATGCACGATATATTCAACAGGTACTGATGGAAGACCGTTGTAAAATTAAAATATTGATATTTATGCTGTATTCTTATTATTATGTACAGTTCATTTATTTACGGAAATAAATTACATTTAGTAATTTATATATATATATATATATATATATATATATATATATATATATATATATATAGAGAGAGAGAGAGAGAGAGAGAAGAGAGAGAGAGAGAGAGAGAAGAGACAGATTTCTGGATTGTCTATTTACGAAACTCTGGAGTCTGGATGCGAATTTAAACACCAATCAACTAAGTGAAACATTCATATTCTTATTTATACACACACACACACACAAACAACACACACACACACACACACACACACACATATATATATATATATATATATATAATGTATTCATTTTAATAGGATATTTTTTCTGGTTTAATTTGGTATTTTTGGTAGATAACATGTTAGAAATAAAAGTAGAAATGAAAAATGAAACCGTTCTCTCCAATAGGATTTGAACCTTGGTCAACGTTTGTATTAGAAAGAACTGTTTAATCCGGTGTGCTTTAGAACGCTCAGCTACGGAGAGTGTCATAACTCAGCATGTGCTTTACGACAGGTTTCCAGAAAGTTTTCCATTATTAAAATGTTTTGGAGCTATCAAAAATGTGATAATTAGTTGGTGAAAGATCGGCAGAATATGGCGGATGGTTAAAAACAGAACTGTAGTTTTTAAAGAGGAGGTAAAAGGTGTTTTTTTTTCTTAATATTTTTTTGTTATTCTAACGAGAACAGGAGGCATTTCTATTAAATCTTTACGTATACCATGCAGATGGTCGATCTATAATGTTCATTTTGTGTTTTATTATCTTTTAAGAACTGAAAATGATTAATACACTGATGATCCTATGACACACACAAAATTATCATTCTTGAGTCGATTGCGGATAATTTTCCTTTTAATTTTTCCTTTTTAGATTGTCTTATATAAGCACTTTAATCATCCTATATCCTAAATAAATTTATATTTCTGACACGAACTCAGTTCACACCGGGGTTGATAAGACAGATGACCGATGTCTTCTCTTCCGAAATGAGCTTTTACCCATATGAGGTTATTTTGAATTTATTTATTTATTAATCATACATATATATATATATATATATATATATATATATATATATATATATATATATATATATATATATATATATTTTTCCTCTCTTTTCATATATGCATATGTAGTAAATCCGATATTTGCAGATATTTACGTAATTTTATAAAACCTGGGGCTATACCTGTAAACTCGATCGTTAATAAGCCAATCAAGTTCACCTGACGCTTGCGAATTGTCACTAGATTTTCCGTTCTTTTTACCATTCTTTTTTTTTACAAATAAGTCAATGATAAACAAAAATCTACATATCTATGCTCTCCTCACCTGTCCTTTTTCTAATCAGCTCAAACTTACGTCGTTCGTTTCGTGACATCTCTGAAAATTCGACAAAGCAGAAGACAGAATTTGACATATGTACAACTATTTGCGTGCATGCATGAGTGCATCGGTGTGAAGGCATATAGAAAAAAATTTTAGCTGAAGCGCTTCTCATCTAAATTTCTGCAGAACAATATATATATATATATATATATATATATATATATATATATTATAATAAAGTATGTAGCAAAACTGAAATTAGGGCTCGGAATAGTTATTTTTTATATTTCATGACTGGAAAAAACATAGGCGATCATAACTCTCCACAAATTTCTCTCTTTTGTTATATAAACAAATATTACCCCTTTTGTATCGATGTTTGTCATTGTTCTGTTATCCATTCACTAAAAATCGTTAACTAGGGTACACGATGTTTACCCTCATATTATTGCATCAAGTGAATATTAAATTCTCTAAGTCACGTTTCCTATTTTCCTGATAACCACACCTTTGCTCACAGACATCCGATCAGGAAAAAGCACATCTCTGTCACTTGCAATCACTTCTTCATTTTTGAATCGATTGTTTTATGATTCATTGAGATGTAAAGATTAGATATATGATAGCTATAGTCTTGACTTTAGTTCTATGCACAAGCTAACACGTTTTAAAACTTAAGAAATATTTCATTATTGATAAAATCTTTTCTGTTTTACACATTCTTTCGAGGGTTATACTGCCAAGATAATAAGGTTTACAACTACGTTGTATTTAGACGTTCCCAATACGTAGATTACACTTAGGGCTGTCTCTTTTGCTGACAACCATGTATTCACTTTTCTGACTATCATTTCTTATTGTTTTTCTAATGTCCAAAACAGGATTTAAAACGGGATTTTTTTAAAGCGTTTTATCGTGTTTTATCGTGCCATATTGTCAGGCTAT